GTTGGGGCTGTGGGGCAGGGTTGGGGGCACAGGGGGCACTGACCACCCCAGGCTGGGGCTGTGGGGGCACAGGAAAGGCACATGAGGCCCAGGTGAGCCCCAGCCCTGCAGCACAGGGTGCTGGTGGCTCCTCAGGGAGGGAAGGACATGCTGGGGGAGAGAAGCCACAACGTGCTGTGCCCCTAGGGTCACTCCCCAGGCTGTGGCTTAATTCCTTCCCCCTCCAACTGATCCCCCAACTCGGATGGACTTGGGAGTTTGGAGCAGGAAAAGCCTGAGGTCCAGTCAAATCCATGGGTAGAAGGAGCAGCATCTCCCTTTGGAGTGGAGCTCTGTGGGGAGGGGGAGAACAGCAGGCAGGGAACATCCCTACAGTCCATCCAGGATGGCTCAGAGCCCCAGGAAGGGTTCAGCACCCCAGGAAGGGCTCATCTCCCCAAGAAAGGCAGAAGGAGCATCCCTACTGTCCCTCCAGGATGGCTCAGAGCCCCAGGGAAGGTTCAGCACCCCAGGAAGGGCAGAAGGAGCATCCCTACTCTCCCTCCAGGGTGGGCAGGGATGGCTCAGCACCCCAGGAAGGGCTCAGCACCCCAAGCAGGGCTCAGCACCCGCACTGCAGGGCTGACTTAGTGTTTGGTGGGTGTTGTAGTGTTCCTGTGCCACAGCATCCTGAGCCCCCTGGAGCAGGGAAAACCTGGATCCTGCCTGGAGAACCATGGGGACAGGGGTAGTGTTCCACATAGGGTAGGAGGTTGCCCCTTGGGGATGCTGTTTGTTCCCTGCCACTGGGCCATACATCCCCACGTGGGAAGGACACATCCTGGCTCTCCCAGCTGCCTCATCCAGGTGCTGGACCCAAAGGAAAGACAGGGAGAGGAGACCTGTGACACTGGTGGGGCTGAGAGGGAGAGCAAAGTACCGAAGTTCAAGCACCAGAAGGACAAAAATAAAATCAAGAAAAGAACCAAATTGCTGAAGGGAAGGAGCCGGTGGAGCCTCCTGGCTCTGACCCTGGTGGGGAGCACAGGGAGAGCTGGAGGAGGGACTCGGTGGGAAGGAGGTGGAATGGAGGGGGTGGTGCCGTGTCACTGAGGTAGTGGGACCAGCACTTCCACGTAGTTGAGGGGGAAGAAGCCTGACTGGCCGTTGATCATGCCCTCGTACCAGTTCTCGTCGATCTGGTTGGTCAGAGTGATGATATCTCCCTCCTTGAAGCCTAACTCGCCGTCGTTCTCCGGTTCAAAGTCGTACAGAGCCTTGCAGCAGGGCTGGTCCAGGGGGGCTGGGGGGAAAGGGGGGGACACAGGTGAGCCAGGACCCTCTGCACAGCATGTTCCTCGAGCCCTGGCTCTGCCAGATCCAGGGATTCCTCTCACAGATGCTGGATCCAGGCATGGCACAGGAGCGTGGTGCCACCTGGAGCTTCACCTTGCTCCAAGGGTGAAGTGCTAACTCCAGTTCCTCTTATCCTGTTCCTCCAGCTTCCCTCACACCTTTCTCCCAGCACAAATTGCCTCCACCATCCCAAGCTGCTGTTCCTGCCTGGATTTGCAGGGCTGGTGTCACCTTGCCCTTCACCTTGCTCCAAGGATGAAGTCCCAACTCCAGTTGCTGTTATCCTGTTCCTCCAACTTTCCTCACACCCTTCCCCCAGCATAAATTCCTGCCTCCACCACCCCTTCACCTTGCTTCAAGGATGAAGTGCTAACTCCAGTTCCTCCTATCCTGCTCCTCCAACTTCCCTCACACTCTTCTCCCAGCATAAATCCCAAGCTGCTGTTCCTGCCTGGATTTGCAGGGCTGGTGTCACCTTGCCCTTCACCTTGCTCCAAGGATGAAGTACCAACTCCAGTTGCTGCTACCCTGCTCCCCCAACTTCCCTCACACCCTTCTCCCAGCACAAATCCTTGCCTCCACTATCCCAAGCTGCTGTTCCTGCCTGGATTATGGATTTCCTTCACTCCAAGCTAAACTCTAGTGGGTCTAGTGTGGAGGTGTCCATGCCCAGGGCAGGGGATTGGGAGTAGATGTTCTCTAAAGTCCATTCCAACCTTTAAAATCCTATCAAACTCCAACCTGGATCTGCACACCACGCTGGAAAAGGTGGTGGAAAGCCACATTATCCCTCTGGACATGAGGGAACATGACAGGGAGTTGGGGTTGGCCATGGAGAAGGACCCTCTGCTTTGGAGATGGGACCCCAAGCCTGAAGATGACAGGAGGGAGAGGATAGGACTTGCCACAGGATTTCAAATCAATCAGCAGCTCAGTGTTGTGTGTGAGGCCCCAAAAGTGGGGAGAGACCCAAAGTCTCATTGTCCCATCTCAGCTCCAGGATTTAGGCATCACCTATAGGCTGCAAAGGGATTTTTTTGTGGAAAGAAAGCTGTGCATTGACGTCTTGGGATTCAGCTTTGCAGCTGGAAGGATCCTACTGGAAAGGGACTGAGCTGGAGATGACCAAGGCCTGCAGGACCTCCATGTCCATCCCTGCTGGCCTGGGCTAGAGCTCTCCCAGCCAGGACAAGGGAACAGCCCCAGCAGCCAAGCACATCTGTCTGCTCAATATCCCTGGAAGTGCTTAAGGTCAGCACATCTGGCTGCTAGATATCCCTGGGGGTGTTCAGCCTGGAGAAGAGAAGCTCCAGGGAGACCTCAGAGCCCCTTCCAGTGCCTAAAGGAGCTCCAAGAGAGCTGCAGAGGGAGTCTGGACAAGGGCATGGAGTGACAGGATACAGGGAATGGCTTCCCACTGCCAGAGGGCAGGGAAAGATGGGATATTGGGAAGGAATTCCTCCCTGTGAGGTGCTGAGGCACTGGAATGGATTTCCCAGAGCAGCTGTGGCTGCTCCATCCCTGGGAGAGTTCCAGTGGATTAAGTTTGGAGCAACCTGGGCTAGTGGAAGGTGTCCCTGTTCATGGCAGGGGGTGGAACTAGATGATCTTAAAGTTCCCTTCCAACTCAAACCATTCCATGATTCCACGATCCACAGCAAGAGCATGAGAAGAGCACTCAGAAAACACCAAAAGCAGCAGCCAAGCAGATTGAGACAACTCCCCAAACCACCAGGCTGGTCCCACCACCACATCCCTACACAAGGCTCCTCCTGCCTCCTTTGCTCCATCTCCACCACGAGCCTTCCCCATCTGGGGGATCCCAACCTGGGATCCCAGCAGGACTTATGGACGAATTATGGACCCTACACCACTCCACAACCTCTCTGAGTCTCCTCAAGGCCCAGCTGGGACCACACACCACAAACTCCACGTGCTGAGGCTCTGCCTGCTCCCTCCAGCCTTCCACAGGGGAATGGGGTGGGCAGATGGGAGAGATCCAGGCTGGATGCTTGGAAAACCAGGAAAATCAGGTGTGTGAGAAAAGCATGTGATGATCCCTGTGGATCAGGACATGCCTGCATGATGCTCCAGCTCCTCCAGGTGAGCAGGGCCCAAGTTTTGGGATGGAAAATCCCAACAGAGCTTGGCTGGGTTAATCTGGAGCTCACTGAGCTCAGCTCAGGCTCAGCACTGGAGGGAGAAGCAGCTCCAAGCAGCAAGATCATGATGCTTCAGCTCCTCCAGGTGAGCAAGATTCCACCCAATTTTGGGGTGGAAAATCCCAACAGAGCTTGGCTGGGTTAATCTGGAGCTCACTGAGCTCAGCTCAGGCTCAGCACTGGAGGGAAGAGCAGCTCCAAGCAGCAGGATGAGGGGAGGAGGATGGGGAGAGCAGGATGGGCAGAGCTGATCACACATCATGCAGTGTAGAGGGAGGAAACTCACGGATACTCCTGCTGGAGGTCCGGGACGGCTTGTCGGATCGGAAAGAGGAGGAAGCTGCTTCCAAACAAAAAAGAGACATGCTTAAAACACTGGGAAGTGGAGAGAGGGAAAGGCAGGACCCCAGGGAGGATGTGTTAGGAGAAATGGGGTGGCCCACATGCTGTTAGAAACCCTCCTGCCTTGCCAGGCCTAGGGAGGGAGGGATGCAAAGGGATGGAAGACAAGGAGGGAGAGAGGCTTCATCCTTCCTGTCTGGCACTATCTGGGCACGGACTGGCCCAGGTTTCATCTTCCTGTCTGGCACTGACTGGCCCAGGCTGGAGAGCTCCCTGGGCCATCCCCAAAAGCCAATACAACAAAGGCTGCTGTGTCCCAAGAGAAAACAGCCCAATCCAGAGGCATTTCTGACGTCTTCCAGAGCCACCAGGCACAGCAGAAACATCCTGCACAGGCAGAGTTGTTCCTCTCCATCCCCAGGAGGCTGCTCCAGGGGCTGCAGCACACACAGCTGGGACAACCTCACCTGAGACTTTAGGGGTGGGATTGCAGGAGAAGCCCCCGTTGGATTGGTCAGTGTCTCCAAAGTCGTATGTCTCCCTGGGTTTGGGCTTGTATTCCCTCCTGGGACGTGAGGAGGCCTCCCTCATCCTGCAAGAAGGAGGAGAAATGGGGATGAAGTCAAATGAGGAATGGAATGGGATGAGATCAACACCATATTTTTCCTCTCCAGTGGCTACACAGAGGGGAAAGTGGTCTGGGGATAAGGATCTGCATAACCCTCTGTGCTGGGGGTTTGGAAGTTTGGTCTTGCCCAGGGTTTGGCCTTTTGGGAAGGCCACAGTTCCCAAGCTTTGCTATGGAATGCTGAGGAATTCAGACCAGCAGAGGACACTAGTGCTGTAGTTTGAAAGCTCAGACTTGGCAGGATCCTCCAAGCTCCTCCTAATTCAAACCAGACATAGGATCCACTCAGCAGTTTTCTTGGAGGAGGGAAAGAACAGCATGGCTAGGAGAGAGAAGTTGCCTTGGCTTTATCCAAGGATATCCAGGCTGAGGAAGGCACATTCCTGGCTCTGCAGGGAAGCCACTCCTTCCTCAGCCAAGCTCCTGGCTCAGGTGACACAGAGCAAGTCAGAGCAGCTGTGCAAACCACCTCTCTCTGTGTTTCAACAGCTCCTCCGAGGGTGTTGGCACCTGGCAGCAACCAAAGGTGCCCCAGGGCTGCTGGGGGGTCACACACTCCAGGAAGAGCAGCAAGACCAGACAGCTCCAGGGCTGCTCCCTGTGCCAACACCACCACAGGCACACGTGTGCCTGTCAGCACCAGCTCACCCAGCAACAAGCCACGTTTGCATGTGGCCAGGAGGGAATAGGCTTGGTGGGAAAAGTAGGTTCTGGAGGACCTCAAGGAGGTGGTGGAGGTGCTCTGCTATTGGGCTGTGGTCAACAAGTCATCTTCACTATCTTCTGGGGCTTTAGAGTAACTTTAGATCTTAAGTGAAGCAACTTTCTGGTCTTTAGAGCAAGTGGAGCCTGTGCCATGGATGTCTCTGGGTCATGGGTTTGGCCAAAGTTCAAGTCACAGCTGGAGCTAATAATGGCACAAAGGCTCCAGGCTGGGCAGGTCCAGGTGACACAGGGTGAGAGGCATGTCCAGCTTGTGTCTCTCCAACTGTGTGATGCAACTTCTGACTCAATCCTGGGTCTGGCCAGAAGGCACTTTCTGGGGGATACTCCCACATGGGATCAATGCCTCAAGGAGCCATGAGCCCTTCTCCACCCTGCCAAACTCAACTCCAGTTCAATTGGAAGGAGTAGGTCTGGACTGAAGCTCAACAAGTGGCTTTAGCACCAGAGAATAGATTCCCTGTGAGGTGCTGAGGCACTGGAATGGATTTCCCAGAGCAGCTGTGGCTGCTCCATCCCTGGGAGTGTTCCAGGCCAGGCTGGATGGGGCTTGAAGCAACGTGGGCTAGTGGAAGATGTCTAGAAGACAGAGAGGTGGAACTCCATGACCTTCAAGGTCCCTTCCAACTCAAACCACTGTAGGATTCTGTGATGCCAAGGCAGACTCAGGTGTTTATGGACAAGTACCACAGGGAGAGCTGCTGGCTGTGAGAGCTGGGAGTATCTGTGGCCTCCTGGGACTCACCTGCGTTTGAGTTTCTCCGCGAGCTCGTCCAGTATCTGCACTGCCTGTCTGTGGTAGTCCAGCTGGGCATCCACCAGGGCTGAGAGCTGGCTCACCTGCTCGATCTGTGGGAGTCACACCAAGCTGGAGTCACACCTTGCTGTCCCCAGGGACAGGACACTCCTGCACTGTACTTAGACCTGAGACCACACTGGGGAAGGTGAGCAATGGGCAGATGAGGAGGTTTTGGGTCAAGCTCAGCAGGATACAGGACACCTCCTGCCACTCTGGGCTTTCCCAGCTGTGAGATTCTGCCCAGGTAAGCTGTGCTACCTGCCCAAAGTCACTCCCATGAGCACACTGAGAGAAGACACATGTGGTACAAGCCACAGCCTCTCCTCTGGCCAAGAGCTGGATCAGAACAGGCCTGTCCAGCCATGAGCTGGGTGGAAGGCCAGAACCAAGGACCAGAGTGGGAATGAATGTCTAACCTGTGCATCCCTTGAGAGGTCCCACCCACAGAGACACAGAACCCCTGGAGCTCAGTGCTCCCCACACTCACATCAGTCTCCAGGAGGTTGTGCATACTGGTCTCTGCTACTTCCTTAGACTCCTCAAACTTCTCCATGGCCTGTCGAAGCTCCTCGTCAGGGATCTTGCCTTGTCGCTTCTTCTTGTAGTCAAAGTCCAAGCGTCTGCCCTCCAGTTTCTTCAGGTGGTGCTGGGGACAGGAGCATGGAATCAGAGAGTCAGCAAGGTTGGAGGAGACCTCCAAGGTCATCAAGTCCAGTCATTAACCTGTCACTGCTCTAACCCCTAAACCAGATCCTCCAGCACCAGATCCAGACACCTCTTAAACACCTCCAGGGATGGTGACTCTACCACCTCCCTGGGCAATATTCCAGTGCCTGAACAACCTAAGAGGGAAAACATCTTTCCAAACATCTTCTGTGACTCTGTCTAGGGCCATTCCCTCTAGTCCTCTCCCTGCAGTCATGGCAGGAGAGACAACCCTCACCTCTCTCCCACCCTGCCCGGGAGTTGGCCTCCTTGGCCCCCTGTGCACACTGTTGGCTCCCACTGAGCTGTGCCACCAGCACTGCCAAGTCCCTTTGGGACCAACACCTCCACCAAGATGGAGATGAAGAGGAAAGCAGGAGAAGCCAGAGGTTGGGAGGAGCCAAGCTCTCCTGCTGGAGGGCAGCTCTGGTTACAGGCTGAGTGCATTGGTTTCAGACATCTGATCTCAGAGCACACACTCCTGTGGTCCCACCTTGGCTCCAGGTGGGAGAGAAGCTCCAGGGCATGATGGAGAGCTGCTGTGAGGAGCAGATCCTCAACACATGGACATGGGGAGTGATTTCAGCCCCTTTCCACTGCAGGAGCAGCCTGGGTGTTCCCTACATAAACATTTTGGGAAAGTGAAGAGATGTCCAGCTACTTGCAGCTCCTCAGGAGCTACAGGGATCTCTGGAGATCAGGAATGTGGGTTCTGGGCATTCCCTGACTCTTAGAGCAAGGATGTCTAAATTAGATCTATGAAATCAGGGCAGAGACAAGCACTGGAGCAGCAGTTGGAGGTTATTTTCCCTGGGATAACTCTAAGAGTTGTCTTGACTCCCACCATGGCACAGCATGTGGTTCCATGCACTAAGAACCAGGAGAGTCCAGAAACCAAAGAGATGAGGAAGAAAACCCATGGAGGTGTTTACCTGGATCTCTTTCAGGTCCTTGTCACACAGGTTCTGGAGGGGGTCAATGAAATTCTGTTTGACTTCAATGTCCAGAGAGTCCTTCACCTCAGCCAGGCGCTTCATGGACTCTCCAGCGTCCAGGAGAGCATCACCTTCGGAGGTGGGAGGGAAGAGAGGGAAAAGGGAAGGGAAAGGGAAGGGAAA